CAGATTCCTTAGTGCAGAGATAGAACCAATGGGACTTGTGGATGAATTGCCTGTGTGGGGCAAGGGAGGGAGAAGAGGGTTCCAGAAGAGCTCCCAGGTTCCCTCTTGAGCAGCCATGTATCCTTTACTGAGGGGAGGGGCAGGCTGGAGGTGTCAAGAGTACAATTTTGGCCGTTGAAAGTGTTACATTTAAGATGCTGACACATCCATGTGGACGTGTCACGTGGGCAGTGCATACACAAGTCTGGAGCCTGCAGGAGAGTTTGGTGCTGGACATAAAAATTTAGGGGTTGCCCACATATGTACTGATGGGATGGATTGCTAAAGCAGACAGTGTTTGCCAATAGGCTGAGGGAGGCATCTGAGAGAAAGAGACAGTGGAGCAGGGTTTGGGGCTGTGTGAAGAGGGCCCTGTGCTGCTGGTAACACCAAGGCCATGGGTTCGGATCCCTATATAGGGATGGCCGGTTAGCTCACTGGGGGAGCATGGTGCCGACAACACCAAGTCAAGGGTTAAGATCCCCTTACCAGTCATCTTTTAAAAAAAATAATAAATAAATAAATAAAGAGGGTCCTGTGTTGGGTAAAGGATCAGATCCTCTGTGCCTGAGGAGTGAGCCTGTGCCTTTCCCACAGCCTACAAAGACTTGCAATCTCGGGAGGAAACTCGAAACGCTGCCTGGAGGAAGAGGGGCTGGGACGAAAATGTTTACTACACAGGTGAGTAAACATTAGTAAACATTAAACACAGGTGAGTAAACATAGGTGACTCCTTAACACAGGTGAGTAAACACAGGTGACTCCTTGGGTCAGTGGAGCTTTTGGAGGTTATCTGTTGGGAGCCGTATCCGAGGATGGAATCCCCTCTGCAAGGAGATCTAGCCTCACCTGATTACCTCATGTGATGGGGAACTCACCTTTAAGACAATGAGTTACTGAGGTTCTATCCTGGTGGCACATTCCACAGGATACAGCAGTCCTAGGTGAGTGTTCTAGGGGATGGTAATACAACCAGGCAGTGGCCATCTGGGAGATGTGGAGTAGCTGAACACCCACCGCAACCTTGGGCGTCTTTCTACACCTCGCTGAGGTTGTTCCCTCATCTGTGAGATGGTGATAGTGACAGCACCTCCCTCAAAGGGCTGTAGGGAGGATTTTACAAGCTAATTTATAAAAAGTGCTTCATCCAGACTCTGGCACAAAGGAAGCATGCAGCAAATTTTTTCAAACAAGCCTTGCCACTTGGGTAGGCCCCCTGGAACTATCTAGTCAGTAGGTATTGATTGAGCCCTCACTGTGTGCGGGGGACTGTGGTGGATGGGTGGTTGGGGGGCACATAAATGAAGACAACCCTACCTTTGCCGTTGAGGAACTTATAGTTAACATTTACCAACTGGTGTGAGAGAGAATATATCTGCTGCAGGAGTTAATGGGAGCCTTGCTATTCCAAGTGTAGGCCTAACTTTCAGCATTGGCATCCCCTAAGAGCTTGTTAGAAATGTGAGGGGCTTGCCGGTTAGCTCAGTTGGTTAGAGCGTGGTGCTGATAACACCAAGGTCAAGGGTTCGATCCGTGTACAAGCCAGCCATCAAAAACAACAACAAACCCACAGAAATGTGAATCTCAGCCTCTCCCAACATACTGAATCAGAATCTGCACTTTAACAAGTGCCCGTGTACAAGCCAGCCATCAAAAACAACAACAAACCCACAAGAAATGTGAATCTCAGCCTCTCCCAACATACTGAATCAGAATCTGCACTTTAACAAGTGCCACAGGTGATTGTACGCATGTTAAAGTTTGAAAAGCTCTGAGCAGGAGGAAAGAGTCTAACCTCTTGGATGACCTTGAACTGACCCTGTCTAGGCTGCCTGTAAAATGAAACAGTTGGACTAAATCAGTGTTTTTCAAACCTCAACCACCTGAGGACCCCTCACAGCTTTTGCCCTACCAGCATACTCCCACTACGATTATTTTCTTGTTATTTTTCTTCAGACCCCCTACTTTGTTCTTAATCTAGCTTTGTTCTGGCAGTAATAATCTGTGAAATTGTTTTTTTACTATGCTTGTTATTTTTTCACATACACAAGAAAATAAATATATAATTATTAAAATTTTTTTAAAGGTTTATCTCATCACCACCTAAGTCCTGTCTTATCCCATAATTTGGGCAGGGTTGTTGCATTGCCTCAGCCTCCTCTGTGACTTTTGCCCCTCTCTCCACAGTCCCCCTGGTGCGACACATGGAGTCTCGGATTATGATCCCATTGAAGATCTCGCCTCTCCAGTGATGCTGCCAATACCTCCACCTCCTTCCCCTTCTCCCTCAGGGCAGCCCCAGAAGAGCTCCCAGTCTTGCTGTCTTGGTTTTCTTACAGCTCTGGGAGGACGCTGGGAGGACTCTGAGGGCTAGTGCTTAGTTCAGACGAGGAAGCTGAAGGATGACAAGATTCTGAGGATTTGCAGCTGTGCCCAGACCCTTCCTGCCTTCCCTGCCCACCTCCTTCTTCCCTGCTGGAAGCAGTTTCTAATTTCCCTGACTGAAGAATAGCAGCCTTTTAAGTCTTCTCACATTTTCCCCTAAGATTCTTCATCTCAATGCTACCAGTCCCCAATTATCACCCTGGAAACCCTTGGTTTGGCTTAGTTGCACAAAAAGTAGTGTGTCTAGTCATTAGGGTGGGGTGGGAAGGGAGGAGGTCAGACCAGGCCAGCCCTCAGGAATTCCCTGATCTTCACTGGGCCACCCATGTGCTGGACAGGCTGAGCCAAGCCCCTCCTGCTGGGGAAAATCCTGAAACTGCCAAACCACCTCAAATCAGTAAAATCAGGTACACAGAGAGTCTGGGAAAAGGGATGAGAACAGGAAGGATTTGGAGGCAGGAGACAGACATGGAACAGGAAACTGGAAGGTAGAATTTTGAATTCAGAACTCTGGAATTTGGAACACAGAATTGGGAAGATAGAACAGAGATAACAGAAGACCACTTGGGGTGGGGTTCCTAGAACTGGACACATGGAGACAGGCCCATCCCGTTTCTCACTACATAATGGGATTGAGAACTTGAATGTCTAGTTCCAGCCTTTCTGCGCAGGGAGTCTCTCCTGTCCTCCTGCAGGCAAAAGTATGGGCCAGAGCTTGTATTTCCCTCACTCTGCATTCCTTGTCCCCCACTTGACATTCTATCAGCCCAAACCTTATTCTACAGGGCCACAGGGTATGCAGAATGAGGTCAGTGACTCTGGGGGCCTTCTCAGTGACCCTCATACTTCATGAACCTCTGGGTAGCTTAATTCTGCCTCCCTTCCAGGAAAACATATGCTGGAGTTACTGATGGAACCAATTAAATATTTACTATAAACCAGGTGTCTTTTGTTCATCTACAGGGATCTTCAGCAGGTGCTCAAGAGCAGAGCTGGCCTGCTTCCCAGTCCCACATGGCTGATCTGCCCCCCTGGAGGGTATTGTGTTCCTGAGCCACCCCTACCCCAGGGCAGAAGGAACCGGCCCTGTACAACCAGGGATTCAGGACACATGTGTTTCTAGCTCCAGATAAGTAGGAATTATACCAAAAATCTTAAGACCTATCACTACTACAGTTCACGCAAGGGGTAGGAAACACTTGAAGCTTTCAAACACTGCATTAGAGTTGTGATTCTATTTTAGGCAAATTGGGCCTGAAATGGAGAAAGTGGTGATGCACCCTGTGAAAAAAACAAATGTAAAATGGGGTTAATGCCCTCCCTGACTTGCTGCCTTCATTGCTGTGGCACGTTGTGGTGAATATAATGGTGAAGAAGCCAGGTTACAGAGGCAAGTCCACTAGGGTCCAAATTTTGGCGCTACAACGCTCTTGTGTTTTTCTTGGGCGTACCACAAACTCATTCAACAACTACGGTACTTTGCGGAGCGCTCACTAGTTGCTGCTTTAGGCGCTGGGGAAAGGGAAGAAGGCACATAAAAGCCTTTGCCTTCACAGCCTCGGTTTGCCAGTCTTAGAGGGCAGGAACGGCGTCGGCAGCCTGGAAACAGCGGCCACCTCTCTTGTGCACGGCCTGCAGCTGGTCCCGCCTCCCTTCCGGCCTCCGCGCCTTGCTTCCGGTCGGCCGTTCTGTCCTTATTTCCGCTTCTCTACGGTGCCCGGGCCGCAGTCGCCCCGCCGCCGGAAGTGGCTTGTTCGCCGGGTCAGAGTCGCAGAGTCGTGCGGTGAGGAAGTGCCAGGGCGGCGGGGCTGGACGCTCCGGGACGAGGTGCGGACTACCCGAAGGGCGCCCCTGGGCTGGGGGCCGACCCGGCTTCTCCGTCCTCATTCCCCGGGGTCCCTGGCTGCTTGGCTTGTCGCTTCGCGGTTTCCTCATCTGACAGATGTTCGCTGCATGTTTGCAGGCCCTATGTTGTAGCCTCTTGATGTTGACGTAGCGTGGTGGTGGTGGTGGTAACAGTTCACATTTGTTGCGCGCTTCTGTGTGCAGGGCACTCTGCTGTGTTGCCAAAGTCAGGATTTCCCACACTTAAGCCTTTCAGGCCCCACTTTTGTGGGTGTTGCCAAATCATCTTACCACCTGTACAACTGTTTACTAAGGGTTTTTAATCCAATCACTTTCTTTTTAATTTTTAATTTTTTATTAGTATATTCATTGTTACAAATCACTTATTCTGTATGCCCTGTATCCATCCCTCCCCCTCCTTCTCTCCCCTTCCCCTTCCCTCTCTAATAACCATAGATTTGTTCTCTCCATCTAGTAGTTTAACTGTTCCTCTGTTGGTTTGTTGCCTAGATGATCTGTCCAGTACTGAGACAGGTGTGATCAGGTCCTCCCCTATTATAAGTCAGATGCTGCTTCTATTATTCTGTTACTCTGAAGTGTGCTTTGTAGAGAGAGAGGACCTCTTTTTTGGGGGGGGGGTCTCCATGGTGCCTTTCCGTGTGTTAATAAAGTTGAGAGTCTGGCATGCCATATGCACAGTGGCTGTGACTGCTGCTATAGAGACTAGCCACTTTTGCAGTAGCCATGGCAATTGCAGTGGCTATGAAGGGCTACCCAAGAGAAAATGGTGTTTTTGGTGTGCTGTGTGCATGGTTGCATCTGGGTTCGGATTCCCTGGGCTCCACACCACAGGGCCCTAGCAGGACCCCTTAATCTAATCACTTTTTAAACTTAAATTCACTTCGAGAGAAAACTTTGTCTCTCTACCACCAGTTGAAAACTGCTTTCATTTGTCTTTATTGGAGAAGATAATGATAAAAATTAATATATTTGATATAATGAAAACAGATCATTGTTAACAAATTCTGGCTAGATTTTATTGTCTAAGTCTCTGAGATAGTCTTTTTGTTACAAAGGAACATTGACATTCATAGATGTTCAAGACAAACTAGGGAACTGAGATGTTCTCCTTGAAGCAATTAGAAGTTTTAATAAAGAATTGAAAAAGGATTAACTTTCTCCCTAGGTGTTCAGCATTAATTTAGATCACCCATGCTCCATCCAAGTCCTTATCTTCATCTCCTTTCCCAGCGGAGTGCCTCCAGTGTTAACGCCCACAGCACCTGAGGTAGGGACTGTTATTCTCATTTGAGTCATGAGGAAACAGACCCAGAGAAAAGTGAAGTGACTTGTCCCAGGACTCAGCCATTAAATAGTAGAGTGGAGATTCCAACTTAGGGCTCTCTGACTCCACCACCACACACTATTGGCTCCCTCAATAAGTGTTAAAATATTAGATTGATTGGGATAAGGGGGACAGTGCTGCCCACCTCAGGAGACTGTGGTGATGACCATGAGAAGTGTCAAGAGAGGATGGTTTATGACCCTAGAGTCCCATGAAATGTAGATTCTGTTCTTTTTAAATTGGATAAGGGGGACAGTGCTGCCCACCTCAGGAGACTGTGGTGATGACCATGAGAAGTGGCAAGAGAGGATGGTTTATGACCCTAGAGTCCCATGAAATGTAGATTCTGTTCTTTTTAAATTTTAGGGCCAACCAGGGAGTCATGGCATTGCCAGATGAGATGCTGGCAAAACTAGGAGGCACAATAGTGTAGTTGGCAGGAGCACTGACATGGCATTGGATGGACCCAAGTTTTAGCATGCAAGCTGCATGACCATGGGCAAGTCATTGACCTTTCTGAGTCTCATTTTTATCATCTGTAAAATGGTACTTATTTGAAAAGTTTGTTAGAAGGATCAAATGAGAACATACCCATAAAGTGCTTGGCTCAAGGCCCAGCACACAATGATCAATCAGTAGCATTGGGAATAAGCTTATATACCAGACTGAGGAGTTTGGATGCTAGTTTATGGAGTGCTTTGCCTGGCTCATGGGAAGAGGGCAGTGCTCACAACCTAGGCAGGGAAGGCAGATAAATCATTCAAAGAGATAAATTCCCTAATAGTGTATGCAGAATACCCAAAGGAGTTCCTTGGGGAGACATGAGAGGCTTTCCAGAGCAGGTGAGTATTCCGTAGTCTTGAAGGATATAGAGGTATAATGGAAGATCATTGCAAGCAGGGGAAGAATGTGGAGTGCTTTGGAACTGGGAGTGTTATGTGCAGCTGTAGCCAGGAGAGGTTGGAGGCAGGGGAAGGATTAATAAGAATAGAAATGTAAGAAATGCAGTTGGAAGGTAAGTTGAGGACAAACCATGAAAGATCTTTATGCCAGGCCAGGGAATGTGGATTTCATTTGGTGCATTATAAAGAGCCAGCAAGGGTTTTGAAACAGTAGAGTACAATTAATTAGGTTGGTCTTTTTTAAGAAAGAGAATTTAGACAGCATTGTTGGGCAGGACTGTTAGAGTAGTCCTGGACAGGAACGTGGAGGGCCTGACCTAGGGTGTTGAGATGGAGAGAGATGCATGGTACCTGGGATTGCTCGGTGAATACCTGAACATAGGATGTGTTTGTGGAGAGCGAGTGAGCAGGATGTGAGTGGGGGTGGGGAAGATAGAGGAGATGGGGGTGGAGCAGATGAGTTCATTTTGGACAGTTGGAAGGATGATTCCCTGTTTTAAAGAGTATTAGAAACTGAGGCTTTGGAGAGTTAAGTGACTTTTCCTGAGTTACCAAGTCTGTTAGTGCCAGAACTGCTTGTAAGACTTCAGAATTCTGACAAATAAATCTCCAACTCTGACTCTGGAAAATCTCAAGAGCTTTCTGCTCTTAACAGCTCTCTGGTGTTTCCACCTGACCTTGAGGAATAGTCATGTCATCAGAATCAAGCAAAAAACGGAAGCCCAAGGTGATCCGAAGCGATGGAGCCCCAGCTGAAGGAAAACGGAATCGATCTGATACTGAGCAGGTGAGATCAGCCAAGGATGCCATACTGCTGAGAAATTGCAGCTCATGGCCAAGCACCTGGCTATGGGTTTGCAGCAGCTCGGGGTCACATCTGCCAGAGACAACCTTCTGGTGACCTCTGCTTGACTGGAATTCCCATGGCTTCACAAAACCTGCATGTCCATATCAGGTTTAGCTGCAGCATCCCAAGAATCAACAATCATTAGACACGATTAGTACCTGCACAGAAATGTATGCCAGTATGATGTGTGTCTCCAGTTTTCCTGATGGTTGGAAGAAAGCAGTGCATCTGCCTGGAGCTTCAGAGATATTGCATCCCTGGATGTGGTACCAAGACAGTACCAGAACCATGTGCCCATAGAACCTATTATGTGACCTGAGAGCTCATGTGGTCAGGAGGGTCTTCTTATCCTTTTGTCTGTTTTTCTGTCCTTGAATCTTACAGGCTAATTTATGACTTAGCTGGTTTTTTTTTTTTTTTTTTTTTTTTTTTTTTTTTTTTTTTTTTGATGGCCTGTTGATAATTGCAGTTTCCTACATAGCTCTACCAACTGAGCTAACAGGCCAGCCCTCATGCAGCCATTTTGATGGAAATCTGTATTTATTGGAATGAGAAGTTACACTAAACACCCGGGACAATATCCCATTTTGTTTAGAAATCAAATGTGTATTTACCTACAGTATTCACCATGGTGTTTTGGTCTGGGAGGTGAAATTAGAGACTTTTTTATTTTCTTGTTATACTCCTCTCTATATTCTGAATCTTTGACACCAAGCATGCATACCTGTGTAATCAGAAAGAAAAAAGGTTTCCATTTTGAAAAGAAGAAAAACATATGATTTGAGGACCAGATTCTTTTTTTTTTTTTTTAAAAAGATGACCGGTAAGGGGATCTTAACCCTTGACTTGGTGTTGTCAGCACCGCACTCAGCCAGCGAGCGAACTGGCCATCCCTATATGGGATCCAAACCCGGGGCCTTGGTGTTATCAGCACCGCAGTCTCCCGAGTGAGCCACGGGCCGGCCCAAGGACCAGATTCTTTAGAGACCTGATTGGGACTTTATTGTTACTATTCTTGTGTGACGAGAGATCTCAGTCAAGTGTCCCTGGTTCCAACAGGGAGACTTTTACCCCCCATCCAGGGCCTCTATCCTTGCCTCCACAGGAAGGTAAATACTACAGTGAGGAGGCCGAGGTGGACCTTCGGGACCCTGGCAGAGACTATGAGCTGTACAAGTATACGTGCCAGGAGCTACAGAGGCTGATGGCCGAGATCCAGGACCTAAAGAGCAGGGGCGGCAAGGATGTGGTAAGGAGTGGGACCAGGTGGTCATGAACCTAGTGGGTCTGCACAGATAGGGCTGTTTTGGCACCTACTGGGGCCCTTCCTGATCTTGGTCTTCTGCCCTAGCAACAATTAGGTGGTTGGAGCCTGGGGGCTCAGAAGACCTGCCTACTTATTAAGTGCCAGGCATTTAGCTAGGTGTTGAGAAGTGATGGCACATGTAAATTCCTTTGATGTTATAAAGATGGGTATGTACAGTAAATCATAGGTATCAAAAGTGAAAGTGTCATTAATATTAAATGAATAAACCAGACTTTAGGGACTGAAAAACTGAACAATGTGACTATAAACTAGATGGATAAGTTTTAAAAATCTTTTTTTTCCCCCAGGAATCTCACTTATTTGTGTTTATGCTGGCCAATATTGTTAAGATTATTATATCCTATCTAGTTTATTGTAGCCAAGCTTTACAGCTACAATTCTGGATGTTTTTCATTTAAATCATTCTGTAATGTTATTTATAGAGGTCACATTTTATGGCAGGATGATGCTATTGTGAGGATCTCTGTGTAGAATCTGTAGAGACAGATGTTAGTTGTACATTGGCCGTACTTGCTCCACCTTCAATTCCTGTTATGCCAGTCCAAGCAGAAGTTGCTTTTTGCCTGGAAACCTTAAGCACTTCCCTTGTACAGTCATCTTTCCATTTCTCATGGTTCTGAGCTCCCTCCAGTGTCTGTTTTTGGCCCTGGATGAGGATGGGTCAGCAGCCAGGGAATGAAGGAAGTTGACTCAGCACCTATCTTCAATTGTCTTTACCATTTTCTTTGCCCTCAGGCAATTGAAATCGAAGAACGGAGGATCCAGAGCTGTGTGCATTTTATGACTCTAAAGAAGCTTAACCGATTAGCCCACATCAGGTTGAAGAAAGGAAGAGATCAGACCCATGAGGTAGGAGTTGAGAGGTTTAATTAACTCTCCTTCTCTTCCCTCCTCCCCATATACTTTATCCACTTTATCCCTTCTCTGAGTTTGCTGCCACTGTGCTCTGTCCTGCCGTGCTTTTCCCTACCCTCCCCCAACTTGCCCTGCTCACCTCTGACCTTGTCCTCCTTTCAGGCTAAGCAGAAAGTAGATGCCTATCACTTGCAGCTACAGAACCTGTTGTATGAGGTGATGCATTTACAGAAGGAGATCACCAAATGTCTGGAGTTCAAGTGAGTTTGGGAGGACAGGGCTTTGGCACAGATGGCCTGTTGATAATTGCAGTTTCCTACATAGCTCTGTGTGAGCCAGTCTCTTTAAAAAGAAATCTGATGAGCTTGGAAGACTGCAGGATATGGTCGAAGGGTGAATAGATCACTTTGAGAGAGAGATCTGCAAGCAGTAGTTTCAGTTTGCACAAAGAACCTCAAAAGCCTCTCTGGCCCTTTTGAGTTTTGAGCTCTGAGCTCTGTACTTGGTAAAAAGCAGTTCTCTCTCCCCAGCTGGAGCCTTTACTTTACTAGTTTGATTCCTGGGCACATTGTATGGGAGCAATTCACTTCTAATCACATCCTTTTAACCTTTTGGCCCAGTTTTCCTCTAAAGTCTTGTAACTCATTTTTCAAGTGGATTTTATTCTTTGGAACCTGAACTTCTTGCTGTTTAGTTGCCTTCAGGTGAACAAACTATAGTTTGTCAGTGTCCTTAACATGTGATGTCTCTTGGCAAAACCAGGCTGAGAGATGAGATAGAGGAAGGAGCAACCAGGGGAAGAGAAGGGAAAGGGTTCTTGGGTGGTCAGACCTGTTTGTGCAAACTGAAAGAAAGCAGGTTTTTTTTTTTTTAAAGATGACCGGTAAGGGGATCTTAACCCTTGGCTTGGTGTTGTCAGCACCATGCTCAGCCAGTGAGCAAACCGGCCATCCCTATATGGGATCCGAACCCGGGGCCTTGGTGTTATCAGCACCGCACTCTCCCGAGTGAGCCACGGGCCGGCCCAAGCAGGTTTTATTTGTAACAAACTTGGCATAAGCAGGGCCACATTAGACATTGGGTCCAACATATGTTTAATGATGATGGTGCTGATTTTTGAGAGGCAGCTTTATCTGCTCTGCAGATCCATCACAAAATAATACTTAAATATGAATAGAGGTGAAATCTGCATCAGGTCTGTGCCTGTGTTGATAGTAATTGTATCATTGTCGGTTTCCTAGTTTTGACTGTACTGTGGCTAGATATCAGGTTAGATTATCATTGGGGGAACCTGGATGAAAGGGACATGGGGAAATTAACTCTCAGTATTATTTTTGAAACTTCTTATGAGTCTTAAATTATTTCAGAGTTAAAAAGGTATAAAAACAAAATAAAAGAATGTAATGCCTTCTCTATAGTCATTGATCAGATGGAAGGAAACTGACAAACCCGGAATACAGTGGAACTCAGGCGCGTGAGTTCTACGTGGAAGGAGCATGGGCCCTGAAGTAAGATAGCCTGGGTTCAAATCTGAGCTCAAGCCACTCACTAGCTGTGTGATCTTGGGCAAGCTGCTTATTGATGGAAGCCTCCATCTCAGTTAAAAAATGGATAAAAATTCCCACCTCGTGGAGTTGTTTTGAAAATTAAATGAGGTGAGGACAGCATATAGTGAGTGCTTATTAATGTATGGTAACTGCTGTTCTTATCATCGTGTGACCATGACCTAGGCACTCAACTATGTTAATGCAGCAGAGAGAATTGGATTTCTTTTCATTTATACATGTATGCCACTATACATGCAACAGTTAAAGCCTCTAGATCTTTTTCACATCTAGTTCAGCCATGCTGGATCTTTCCTGTCCTATGCTTATGCAGTTAATGTTGTGAAATTAAGTGCATACTCTTACATTCATTCCTGTTAAATAACATGTCTTGGTTTTAATCTGACAGTCTAGGACTAGACCATAGTGTTTTTATTTGACTCTTTTTAACTATTAGATTTCTTACTCAGCTTGGAGACATTTGTAAATTTGATACCCCTTCCAGGTCTTTAGCTAATTCATGGATAAAAAGGTTGGGCAGCATGGATTAGGACCCTGTGGCATGTCACCAACTACCTCTTTTCACACTGAAACATCTACTGATGAGTGTTTGCTAAGAAGACTGGGTTCCAGGATTCTGAGTAGTTGTAGACCAGGGCTATCTGGGCATAGATGGGGGAAACTTTGTGCCTACTTAAGCCAGTTTGGGTTCCTGAGAACAGCATCTTGACATCTAGCTTTTGCCTGTAGGTCAAAGCACGAAGAAATTGATCTGGTCAGTTTAGAGGAGTTTTATAATGAGGCTCCACCAGATATCAGCAAGGCTGAAGTCACCATGGGAGACCCTCACCAACAAACCCTGGCACGTCTGGACTGGGAGCTGGAACAGCGGAAAAGGTAGTGTTTTCTCCTTCCTGACCTTGTTATCCACGGAATGACAGTGCTTTGTCATGACCCAGGATCAGACAGCAAAGCACTGTGGAACCAGCAGAATAGTCTCTAAGACCAAGTCCTATTTTGTGATTAATTCACCTTCATCATGGGTGGGGTTGTAAATGCTTAAGGCTTGTATTGGTCTGTTTCTGTTGCTTATAACAAAATACATGAAACTGGGTAATGAATAAAGAAATAGAATTTATTTCTTATAGTTTTGGAGGCTGGGAACTCCAAAGTCCAGGAAACACATCTGGTGAATGCCTTTTCTTGGTATCTCTACAATGACACAAGGTATCACATGGCAAAATGGTAGAAGCAGAGAGAGACTAACCTCCTCACATGCTGTCCTTCTAAAGTCCTCAATGATGCCTAGATTACCGTTAAACTATCAATTTATTAATCTGTTCACTAGGGCATGGTCCTCACAATCTAATAACCTCTTCAAGGTCCCACCTTTCATTAACATAATAAGATTTTCCGCCTTCTTAACACTGTCTCAGTGGGGGTTAAGTTTCTAATACATGGACTTTGGGGGACACAATTCAATCCATAGAAAGGCTTTTAACTGAAAGTTGGAGTGATTTCTTTTCCTTTAAAATTTTAACACCTGAAACCTAAATATCATCTGTACCATAAATCTAATTTTGTATTTTGCCTTTTCACCCTATCTGTAAGCATATCCCTATGGTATTATAAAGCTTTGTAAACATCATTTCAGAAGGTTGTGCAACGTTCCAGTGTGTAGAAAAATGGTAATTCATAGAATCATTCCCCTATTGGACTTTTTTTTTTTTTTTTTTTTTTTTTTTTTTTT